ATATATATATATATATATATATATATATATATCTCTTTCAACATTATTCTATGGAAAAAATCTTTTACGTAGAGATAAGCGACTTATCAGTATTCTTTCTAATTGTTACCGTTTCTGCTTCAACTTGAATAAAAGTTGCTTCTTGTAATCTCGACTTTTAAATTCCTATATTTAGTTTATCAAATCCTTTTGCTGATATGTCTTTAAGTAACTGTATAATAATATCGATAAGATAGCATTTGTACTCTTTGAAGTCATTTATGACAATATCTGTTCGCTAGTATTGTACGACAGGTATGTATGGTGAAATTATTACTATTTGAAGAGAAGGGAAAAAAAGACTGCACAGTAGTAGCAGTAATAGTAGTAGTAGTAGTAGTAGTAACAAAGATTTTTGATATTATTATTATTATTATTATTATTATTATTATTATTATTATACGTTTTGAATCTGCTTGTTTGATATTATGAGCTACCCCGCAAGTTTCAACCGGAAACTTCAAGTGCCAGCAAGTTGATATGTCAAAACTGATAACCATATGTTTGATATCAGGATGTGTGAAAGTAGAGTAAAAACAAAAACCTTGAAAGATCTAAAAGAAAAAAAAAAGATTTTAACTGTTAAGATATATTAAAATCAGTTTTATAAAATGCTAATAGAAATTTAAGCGTACTACAAGGTTGGCATCTCGCTCCCACATGTTTTTACCATCGAAACAGTTAAATGTAACCGCCCTTTCTACTCTAACAGCTTTTCTCGCACTTCCCGCCAGTGGAACTATTTTCCTCTTACTTGCTTTCCCTTATAATTATAGTCTTCAAAAAATGAAATGTAATATCAATCGACATCTTTGATCCCTTGATCCCCTTTCTACTTTTTACTCTCCGTTCTTTTTTTTTTATCTTTTTCTCAATCCCCACGATACCCAGTTTTCCCTTACTTTCACTCTCTGTAGCCTCTTGCATACTAGTGGTACTCCTGCCTTGCTTGGAGTGAAATGCTTAGAATAAATAATATGTTGATGGCTTAACTAGGTCATCCGTCAGGATATATGTATTCTCGGAGGACTTTCGGTTGCGCATGTATCAAGAGACACTGTGTATTCCAGTATTTTCCAACTGATTTGGAATAATTAGTTCTCAGCCATTGTCAAATATGAAAGATTTTTTTTTTCTTGCATGAAACCATTGCAGTTCAATACAACAAATCTGGTCTGTTAGATTCTGCCATTGACCACCTGTCTTCACCGTAAAGCCGGCAGGGGTGGAAGAAGAATTGTAAAAAGTTTGAATAAAAGCTTTTAAAATTTAAAAACTTTAATGAAATTGTTAAAATTCTTTGAAATCAAGTGGAAAATTGATGCAGGAAAATGTCATATGAACAATTGTTTTCTAAGGATGTGAGAAAATGTCACTCCAAAGAACTGATTATATTGAACGAATGTCTCGGCTTATTTAATGAATAAATTCATATGAGCTAATATACTTTATACGGGCTCTATGGGCTATATATAATAATATCTGAATAATCCAACTGAAAAATAAGCGCTGAAATCCTCCTCGTAGCGATTTTCAGATGTCAAAACAGTTGCATTTTCAATTACTATTATAGTGAGTTAGATTTTGTGCCCTCCACACTAATCGCCTTGAAAATAAGCTTACTGACCTGCAGCTAAGCAATGACCTATATACTACTCTAGAAGAAAGCCTATTGTGCTGAGTTCGATTCTCAATGAGGGTTCAATACTTGGGCCAGATTAAGCTACGGAAAAGATATCTGGTTATGATAACCAGATATCTTTTCCGTAGAATGCTTATTTTATTGCTAGTGCAATTGCTCCAGATAAAACTAAGTTCAGCAAATAATAATAGTACATACTCTTACGGTGGAGTAATGGATAGCGGCTCGGATTGAGGAATTGGAGAACCGAGTTCGAATTCCAGTCGAATTCATTACATTCATTTACGTCCTAATACCCTTTGGAAAAGTATGAATCCTCTACTCCCCCCCAAAGTTATGGGTAAATAGCAAGACAGACAGGGTTCTATAGCCTTGGATGGCAATTGGTCTGCTGCAGAAAGAAATGGCAACCCACTGCGTGAAAAAATCTGCCTTGTCAGTCATGAAAGATACATGATCGCTCAAGCGTGTATCACGCATGGCACATAATTGACTGATATAATCTTAACCTGTTGTTACATGTCTTCAACGATGACACCCCGGAATCTCTGATGTGAAGATTCAAATAATAATAATAATAAAGAAGCAATAGCAGATACTTGTAAATTTTCAGAATGCTACAAATGATCTAATTCTGTTTCAGGCATGACTTTAGATCTTAACTAATTGGTGGTGATAACATGTAATATGTTTTGCCTTGGTGAATTAAAAAGGATAATAGTCGTATACAAACGCTTTCTCGGGCAAATTATTAAAAATGGCTCCAAGCGAATGGATCTGGAGCTCTTCATTGTGGAATGGCGCTACAGAATGACAAATATCAAATAACAGAAAACCTCATCATTTGAAAGTTATAAACAGCCGCAACAACAAAAAATGGATTGCATATTGTAACTTGAAGAGAAAATAATGCCAAAATAAAAATGATGACGTTTCACACTGCTTTAACCAAAATGTTATAAAAAAAAAAGCCTCCATCAGTACTGGAAAGAGCGATAACAGCTAGTTAACTAGAGAAACATATTTTCCTGAAAATTTATTTTAATAAAAATATTTTATAGATATCAGTTGAATGTTTTTTGCATAAGGAAGCGGTTGTCATTACTATCTATATATAAAATTATGTGATTTTCCTTTGTCCATCCGTCCGTCACACCCTCTAAAATAGCCATACTTTGACCGATCGAAACCAAATTTTGGGTAGAAGTGCAAACAGGTACAAAGTACAATTGGTTTTCTTAGGCCGCGTAGATTAGTACAATAAATTTTCATTAATGCTTTTGGAAAATTAAAAATTTTATTAACATAAAAATATTTCCACTATTTCAAAAACAATTTAATGATTAAAATAAAAACTTATTTAATAAAAATGCAATATTGTTTTTTTATATGCAAGAATCCAATTTCCTGTTTGTCCTGCGTTTACGAGAATTATAAATAAATCACAAGGCCAAATACCTCAAAAAGTTGGAATTTGCCTCCAGAAAGAAATATTTACACATGGCCAGTTATATGTTGCATGGTCAAGAGTAAGAAATCCAAAGAATTTATTCTCCGCTTTTAAAATGGAAAAATATTGTTTACCATGAAGCCCTATAAAAGTAGGTTACTTGTCAAAGTACATTTCTAAACAAATCAGCTTATTAAACTTTTATCGATTGGTTTGCGAAATTGAAGGAAACGCCGAGTTTGTAAATCTCGACAAGAATGTTAGCAATATAAATATTGTGAGGAAAAAGAATTCTAGTTAAAGCAAATATCACGACCGCGAATCTAGAGACCCATCGAGGTCGTAGAAGCACCACATATACGGGGGGGGGGAGAATAAGAGGATTCAAACCTTTCCCAACACGTAAGTTAATATAATGGATCCAACTAGAATCCTCAATTCGAGCCGCTATCCATTACTCCACCGTGCTTCCTTTTAAAAAGCATTATTGATATGTCCCGGAAAGGGATATATTTGTTCGAAGTATCAAAGTGGTTGTTGACTACTGTAACCGGGTAGGACAATCTAGCAGGTAACCGTAATGGACTGGTCCTCGTCGTAGTGGTAGGCAATAGGCGAAGGCAATAGGCGAAGATAATAGGCATCATTCATATCAGTCTGTATTTATGGCTGACACCAGCCAATCATATTACTGTGAGGGGGGAACCAGATGTATGCATATTCATTACATCAAATATCCTCTAAATATACCTTTCATTAACATAGATTTGTCACTTACCTAAACCAGAGGGCCATATGCCCCTTGGCGTTGACGCTCTGTGTATCTCAGTTAACCAGCTGTTGTGAGTTGTTTTTTTAAGAATAGGTTGTCATATCTAAATATGTGGGAATGTCCTTAATCGGAGACCGTTTGAATTGACTGGGTTACACGTAGTAATGGTATTACTAACTGTGCCCCAGTTGCAGGTTACATTTTGCTTTTATGAAAACATGTAACTGTTTATTATCTGCAATGTGTCGATAATAGACTGGATTTATTGAGAATCTCAGCGTCACCTTTTGGCGCGGTGGGTTTTCATTCAGTGATTATGTTGCTCTACCATATACTTGCATGGAAGCTGGGAAAATTGGGAAAACTTAAGATTGTAGGAACACTTGTAAGTCAAATCGAGTTTAGATGAATCTGTATACCAAGAACGAATTCAGACTGTGCGCATTACGGTGTTGCTGGAGTCTACAAGGATAATGCAAATAATGAAAGTTGAGGAAACTTGCTGCCATTCAACTTCCAGTGTAAACTACAAGACATTTAATGGAAACATGCAAATATATGAAATTTAAATAACAATGCAGTATACTAACCAATTTGTATCAGATTGGATTTTTGCTGCTAAATTAATGAGTTTATAATTTTTTTTTTTATTCAAATCAGACAAGGAAGAAAATTTCCAAGTGTTTTTCTTCGTCACCGATAGTTTCTTGTCTGTTGCAAATGACCAACAATTTCGCTGGTTCTTGTTATCGGAAATTGCCGACATTGATTTTGATTTAATGAAAGTTCTGACGACAAAATACGAAAAACTAACGGGGAATAATTTCACTTGTTTTTCATTTATTTGGTGAACGTTTGTTTTGTCCGGAATATTTATTTGTTTGTTTGTTAGTTTAAGATTTCTGAATAATGACGAATGGCGTCATATCAATTTTCTGCCCGGTTTTCCAGACAGTCGTCTGTAATTGGGATTCAATTTCCCGTCAGATAATTAGACGCGTAACTTCGGTGCGTGGGTATTGTCGCCACTGTTGCGTTGTCATCATTGTTTTTGTTCCTCTTTGCATTTCCAAAGATATCTTCTTCATATTCTTCTTATGCTTCTTCTTCTTTACAAGCTTTGGTTCTTCTACTCCTCCTCCCACTGTCAATTTACTATTTTCTTTTCCCCTTCTCCTCCTCCTCCTCCCCCTCCTCCTATTTTACCTCGATTTTCCTTTCTTCTTTTCTATCATTTTCTTTTTTGCTTAAGTTCCACCTTTTCCTTCTTATTCTGCTCTTTATTTTCTTAGTATTTTTCTTTTTCTTCGTTTATTGATTTTTCATTGAATTCTTCTTTAGCGTTTCTATTTTCTTTTTTATTGCTTCTTTCTTCTTCTTCTTTTTCTGCTGTTGCTGTTACTGTTGTTTCTTCTTCTTCTTCTTCTTCTTCTTTCTCTAAATTTCTTCTATCTTTCCTCGTTTCCATCACTTCTTCATACACTCTTCTTTATATTTATGTCTCTAACCATTTCTTGTAATTCTTCATCTTAAGAAAAGATACCCACCAATAAAACGACCAATTTACCACAACAAATTAATCAAGAGAAACAAAAACCTCCCTCAACGACTCATTTAACATAAAATTACAAGACCTTCGAACTAATCACCATCTTCACTCTGACTTGCTTTCTCATTCGCCCTTTCCTTTTTCTTTCTTCACCCTTCTAACCTCGACAAACGAACGCTCTTTAAGCATTTAGATTGATTTCAATTCTGCTCTTACCATTCATACATAGTGCCATATAATTTGTCTGTAAACATCACCCAAGCTTAGAATAATTCTAAATTGCTTTAATCATATTTATTTTAAACAAAGTACAGAAAGCTTGAAAACCATATCATTATTTTTATTCCTCATTTTTTATCTTCAGATAAACGTCGTCAAATTTTTATTTGAATATCTTATGGTATTGGAAAATGAACGTTATCGCTTGGATGAATGAGTTTTAGTAGTTATTCCTGTTTCAAAGGCTTTTGCGCCAATTAACCAGCATTATTTTTTTCAGGATCAAAATTATTATAACTTATGCCTTTATTTTATTTTTATATTTTGCAAGTATTTGCAAAAAAATATATTTTTCACATTTGTAAAATTTAATCCCTCAGAATTGTAAAAACTTTACTTCAAGAATCGTCCTAATTCAAACTTTTTAATTGTCGCATAGCATTTTATTTATACTGTATACTATTACAAATAAGAGTAAATAGTGTGTTGCGTGGTGTCTTAATTAATACAATCGTACGGTGGGTTGAGTTCAAATCCCGGCTGAAGAAATTTATGTACATTTCACCCTTAATCTCCTTTTAAAAGGCATGATTTAACTTCTCTCAGTATTTATCTGCCCACGTGTACCCTTAGTAAAGGTCTCATTTGCGAAAAGATTACATTCAGGGATTCTACCTTGCTTCTGGTAAACCAGAAGATATTGTATCGGAGATTGGCTATGTCAAGTAACTTTGCTTGATTTAGAGGAAAAAAACATTAAAAACGGGTATTTCACTCTACAAATCTTTTCATGCTATTACTTCGATCCTCTTTCTCTACTTTAGAGGTTTTCTTAAACTGGGATACGCAAGAGAAATTCAGCGAGAGTACAGGATCAAGTCTCGTACGCTCTCGGCACTTCGTCACTTATTAGTAGAATTTCATGATTTGTATTCTGTATAGAAAGGGAAAATTTGCTTTTTGTGTTCCCTACTTTGATTATCCAATTATTCGAAGTAATTTCAGAACTCTTCCGAATAGGAATTCGTAGAAATGTTGAATGACTCAATGGCCAAAGATATTTTTTAAATTACCCACTAATGTTTTGGTTTTGAATGGTCAAATAATAACCAACTGTTATGTCTGTAGAATCTTTGTCAATTTTGCTGTGTTCAGCCCCTTACTGTTAGGATCAAGGTTTATTTTCAGCAATGTATGACCGAACATGCCAGCAACGGCAAAGTTTTAAAGAAAATGGAAGCAAAAAAAGACACTTGTAATTAATATCAGGAAGAAACAGATGAAATTTCTAGGGAGCCCAATAAGGAAAGAGACCTTGAAAAAAAATTGATGCTCATATGACAGATGAAGTCAAAAAAGACAGAGAAAAACAACGCATAAGCCACATGGTGAGCTTCAGTGAATAGATATCTGATCAGGTTTTTGGGGAGATAGCAAAAAGAACATAATTTTATTAAACGCTCTAAAAGACAGGAAGTTTTGGAGAGCCTTGATCGCCAACGTCCTAAACGGACACGGCACTTAAAATCAAATTTCGGCCATGACTGTCAACTGAAATGATTCGGAGAATTACTTGTTGAAAAGAGGCAAACCCATCAATCTCCTTAAATGTTTAACAATCTAATGAACAAAATTATAATCAAATACCTCTCATCTATAATTTATGGTATCCATATATTTGTACTATATTGTTGACAAATATATTATTCCTAGTCAGTTAATTGATCGGTCAACTAGAAAGACGAATTTTCGAATGACTCAATCACCGAAGATCTTTTTGAAATCTCTATCCAATTAAAATTTCTATGTTCATGACAAAATCAAATTCATCTTCACCTCAAAACATATGTAGAAAGTCTTTTGTTGTTCCTATACACTTATCATTGTGAAGAAGGTTTTTTTCAGTAATGGGGATGAACAATGTCAAATTATGAGCAAAGTGTCAATTGAAATGATATATTTGTCCCCCTAAATCGGTTCACATAATTGATTTTCTCGTTAGAAAAAAACAATCTCACCCATCCTGTGAAATCTGCTACAGTGTATTAAATGTAATTATAAACAAACACAAAATCTATAAACTTTTTCATGATATACATATATTCTATAATATTCTTCTCAAAGGGTATGTCAACACATTCGGGCAGGACGAAAAAGTAGGCGGAAAGTAAAAGTTTAAGAATCTCTGATACAACACAAGCGTTTATGGTTGTATTTCTTTATGTGGCAAGATGGCTACCGTTAAATGTCTTTTCAGATAATGAAAAGCCCAGCATGATAACACACTGCTATACATAACCATTCATCCACATATAAAAAACGGAATTATCGAATGGCTTTGTGTATAAAATGATTTATCTTAATTGGTTTTTACTTCGGTCATATATTTAAACTATGGTTTTCATGGCTAAAACAAGTAACTGTTTAACTATCAAATATATATTCAAGTCTTCAGAGTAATTTAATCAGGTAAAAATAGACTAAATATTGATTGCCGGAAGTGGAAGGACAAAGATTGCATCGAATAATATGAAAGATACGCACGCTAAGCCGAAAGGATTATTAAATAGAAAAATAATAATTTCGTCTTATCTTATTTTAGAACGGAAGTACCAGGTCCACAGACGAGCTCCTTTTCCAGTTCTTACATTTTATCACCCCAGCAAGGTTAATGAAACTATTCTACAGGCGCTGCCATAATGCCCTCCTCACAAGCAAATAATATTGTACAGATACTTGTCTAATGCACTTGAACAACAGTTGTAATGTAGGCGATAAATGCTGAGGGAAGTTATGTAAGAAAAAGCGAGAGATTAGCTTTCAAAAAAGTTATTCACGCATTTTTCTTATCTGTCTATATTTCTGAGATGAGGCCTTGTAATTATTTACACTATTTGCATCACTCGGACTGCTACCCCCCCCACAGGACGCATGGAAAATTGGATAAAAGCGTTGGTTGAAGTAATCCAAAAAGTGGCTTGACTCAAAGATTTATGAGTTCAATACCTGGCCACAGCAGAGAAAACTAAACTCGGATAGCTGAGTTGCTGAAGGGAATTTAAAACAAAAAAAAACCCCAAAAAACCAGATCAATTATTATCGTTGTCGTAGTTTTAAGTGGGAAGTAAAACTTTACCGAATGACGTTTAAAAAATCTGGAAATTTATTGTTTGCTTTCAAGCATGGCATATGGAACAAGAACAATCTATTCCCGTGGACTAAATAAAGGGTTTGATTAGAACTTATTAAAATGTGAGAAAAAATCCGAGCTATGGGGTTATCTTTGCCAAAAAAATAAACTTTCACTTTAGCGTTTCAAATCGCCAACCAGCAGTAAACTTGAAATATCTGATTTAGTAAAACAGTACAACTAGAAAAGCAGATTGCATAGTTTTCTAGTCTTGCTAATGGTTTGTTAGGCAATGTTTCAGATGGAAAATAGCATAAAACAACTTCCAGTCAGTCTCAGACGATTACAAAAAAGATTCCAATCTAGCGATGCAAATCTCGATTCTGTTGGTATTCTTTCTAAATCGCTTCATCTCAAGAGAGGCGATAATGCCACTCCAGCGTAGGGAGTTACAGGGAGTGAAAGTGAAAGAGAATAAGCAGACAGAGAATGGGGAGGGTTGAGGAAAGGACAAAAAAGGAACAGTCTTCAAAAAGATGGCGATTGACGTTGCATTTAAAATTGTAAAGATTGTAGTTATCAGGGAAGCAAGAAATCGGAAGGAATTTCTACAGGTTTGGTTTAGTTTGTTTAGCGGCATATCAACTCCTTATGGGTCATTTAATGCGGAAATTTAATTAAAATCTATTGCTGTAAATGTTTGCTATAAGACGTATTTTTTATACTTATATAGTGTTTTGACCCTAGTTTGGGGTTTCACTATTTGCCTATAGATGGGACCCTTACAGGTGCTACCAGCCCGGGTCAGGGTAGAGCTTCAAAGAACAGTAATTAAGAGGTGGTTCCATGTTTCTCAAAACCTCCCGGTCCTTGCTGCTGGATTTAATTTATCGTCATATCCAGGAAAGTAGTTCTATGTGGGAAGTTCAGGAATAGAAAAAGTTGGAGTAGAAATAGTAGTTGCATCTAGCTACAGTAAAGCGATGAGGGTTAGTTGCCAATCTAGTGGCACTTTTATATTCATGTCATATGCAAGAGTTATGTCGTCTTCCATTCCACACTGAGAATTCGATTTCTATTGGACGAAGAAAAGACAACGTGGAGTTGGGAATGCAATATATAAATCATCAGAAATTGTCATCGAAAGCAACTTACGGGATTCAGAAAGACATGTGGCTGAAGATGTATTTTTTCATGACGAGTCCCGATCAGTTTCAGCCTGTCTTAGTTTTGTGCGTTTATAAGCACAGATGTGGAGAAATGGGTCATGAACATCTGAATATATACCGCATCATATCCCAAATGACAAAAATAAGGAGATACAATCCTTCATCGAACAAAGAATATTAACAAATAAAACCTCATCACTTTCAATGGCAAAATACGAAATAAAAGAAACAACATCACTTGAGGATTTCAACAGTAGAAACTAAACTTGTTGCCACATGTCCTCAACGATGAACCCGGGAGTGTCTAAAATGGAGATTCAAATAATAATAATAATAATAAAAAAGGAATTCTTGTAGATGTTCAGATGCCACAAATGCTCTAATTCTGTGCCAGACATGGCTTTTGTTCTTAACTACTTGGACGTGTTAACATGTATGTTTTGTCTTGGTGAATTAAAAAGGGTAACAAATGTATATAACCGCTATCTCGCATAAATTATTAAAAATGGCTCCTTATGGACTGACACTACAGAATCATAAAGAACTGTACCAAATAATAGAAACCTAATCACTTGAAAACATTTAACAGCAGCAACAGCTAAAATGGATACCACATGTAAATAGAACAGAAAATAATGACATATGCAATCCGTTAACTTTCCACACAACCAAAAACAAAAGGCTTGGAAGGAAACACATATGAGTATTCGAAATAGTGATAACAGTAAACTTGATAAGTCTAATTATCTGAAGATTGTTTCAATAAAAATATTTATATAAATTGTTTGGTCAATGAATGATGAATGCTTCTTGTATGGTAATCGCTAATTTTACCATTACCGACGGAATATTCTGGAATATTTTCAAGAATATCAATGGACAAACATGGTTTAAGAAATTATCAGTAGAATTTTCTTGAACCAGTAAAATCAATATGATGTTTTAGAGAAAAAACTCAGATGACAGTTTTTTCTTTTATTCTCTTGCCAAAACAACAAAAAAATGCCGGCTAATTATGATTACCACAAATTTAAGCAAAAATTTCAACGGAACAATTGTGTGTAGTTGCCAAATAGTAAACGATTGCTGTAACATGATTTCTTACTTTCTTTCCTAGCTCACAAACTATTCGCTTGGTGCATGTTGTGTAATGGTTAGAGGTTCGGAATGATAAGCTAAACAGTAACCTCTCAGCTGTCAATGTATCGCATACTAACTTTGAGCAAGTTGCTCTGGATAGAAATAACTGGAGATATTTATGCCGAAGTAGGATCAGAAATTTCGAAATCTGTTGTATTGACCGGCTAAGACAAAGGCGAAAAGCATCAGTAAATATTCCTGTTGCTATGTCCCGAGATCATCGCTGTCGCACAATACGTGAACTTGAATGCAAGTCACTTGTATGAAGTGTTTCATACGAGACAAACATGACTGAATGAGACTGTCGGATCCTCATACGTCGAAATCGGGACACACACACACACACACACACACACACATATATATATATATATATATATATATATATATATATATTTATTTATTTATTTAATTCATCGAGTCTGATAGAAACCTCAACAGAATACAGAAAGCACTGGACGGCCGTTTGGGACTCATCAGCAGTGCGCATCCACTACCGAGAATTGAAACCCTGACAGTTAGGTTGTTAAGCGAACATCATACCAACTGTTCCAAATGGGCATCGGTGACGAAGAGATTCCAAATCAGACTCAACTTAGCGCCGTGGCGTTAAGTTGAGTTCCGCCACGGAATATGTGAGCGAGCGGCGCTAAGTTGAGTCTTGGTGTCAGGAACCTGCCCCAAAGTTTGTTTTTTTTTTAATTGTATATTTAACAGCGGCTAACGCAATCTCTAAACTTAATAACTCAAAAACCAAGGATTTATGGACATATGTATATATGGACATTTGTCCTTGTATTCGTGTGAGCAACCCATAGGTTTGTATAAGTATTTTTGATACACTATATATATATATATATATATATATATATATATATATATATATATATATATATATATATATATATATATATATATATATATATATATATATATATATATCGCATTAGTGGGGAGGAAACAAATATTCGTACGCATACAAAAATTTAATTTATTATATTTCCATTTAATGAATACTTACTTTTCATATAATTAATTGTACACAGTTGCATAATAACTAAATATGCATAGAAAACAAAAAACATTATGCATCTGTGTACAGTTAATTATATGAAAAGTATGTTTATTCGTTCGTTGGAAATACAATAAAATAAAAATTCGTAAAAAATTTCTATGCGTACGAATATTTGTTTCCACCACTTGTTTCCACACGTTTGATCCTTCTTTGAATTAGTGTAATCAGTCTTTGAGGAAATTTTAATTATTTCACCCCAAGCAAGACAATAAAGCCACTAAGATACAAGAGACTACTGAGTATGAAAGAATATAAGAAACTGAAAACATTTTAGAGCGAATAATAAAGGAACAAGAAGACAGAAGATAATGATTGACATTTCATTTAAAAATTTTGAAGATCAACGTTGCCTTGAAAATAAAAAGAATGAAAGAGGGTTTCACAAGCGAGAAGTGCGAGAGAATAAACTGTTAGCATAGAACTTACGGTTACATCTTGCCATTTCAACTATAATATGACGAGACCTTGTTGACAATCTAGTACTGCGATTAAATTCATAAAGTTTATGCAGCAAAGATGAAAGGTCATCAAAACAATTATCATGAAACATATTTTTAAAAATAACTGAGGGAAGTTACGTTACACGCTGAAGCCGAAATGCCAACTCAGGATCAATAACTTTGCAGATTCTTCTTTGTATTTTATCTAGAATCTCTAAATGCATAGCAGAAGCACCAGAGAAATGTGACAGCAATATTTAATACATAGTCGAATAGTAGACATGTAAATGTGTAAAACTGTCTGGCAAGAGTCAGTGAACCATCTTTCCGAGCATTATTTGAAGAGTTATAACGAACTAGATCTCAAACGAATGTGGTAAAAAGACAATCAAAGACAACAGTCTGACATTACAAAATCACAAGAGCCATACCAAATAACAAAACCCCATCACTTGAATAGTTCCAAAAGCAGTAAAAATTGGAACCACATTTGTGATTGATAATAAATGCGATCAATCTTAGAAAAAATGTAATCAATGTTAGAAGTCATTAACATCTCAGAACTTCAAAAATGTATGAACTTTGACCTTCAGTAAGGTTGTGGTAATGCAGAATGTTTAGCATTTCTTGAACAGAAAACACTGTATTTTGAATAAATCTGTTTTTGCTGCTAAATATTTAGTTCCTATTGACAAGTCATTTATCATCGAAAAAAGAAAATTAACATCTAATCGTTCTTTAAAAGAATATACGATTCAGTCCTGAAAATTTCTCAGTTCTACAACGAAATTCATCCGCGACCTCACGAAATAATTAATGAAATATGATGTTTGGTCATTTAGGTCATTAATGGGATTAAAAATTTTACTGCTTTCAGCATCACCTCCATTTTTTGTGGGGGGGAATCTTTGCGTGTTTCCCGAACTTAAGAAAAAGGTCTGGTTTTCAGGTTGAAACTTCCGTTTCTTAATAGACATTTTGAATATTTCATGATTTAAGTTACTTACATTTGCAAACATTTTCATCTGGTTTCTTGAGGTATTTCGAAAATCATTTTGTGAATTTTCTATCAACATTAAGAACTTTAAACAGTTCGGTGTCATTAGTTTCAGAGTTTGCTGGACTCAAAGGTTTCTTAGTATTTCTTTTTTCATTCTTTTTCAAACATTCATTTATTCTTTCCCTCCCTCCTCCCTCCCTCTCTCATTCTCTCTATCATAGACACACACTCTTTCTCACCGACACACACCCACCCACGCACCATTTTCTGTCTCTCCTTCCTTCTCTTCCATTCAATTTCTCTCTTTTTTTCTTTATCATCTTCATCTTTCGCTCACTCTTTCACTCTCTATTTTTCTCTCTCTGTATTTTCTCTCTCTCTCTCTCCGTCCCCAACCTCTTTCTTTATTTCTCTCTCTCTCTCTTCCAATTCTCTCTCACTCTTTCTTTCTTTATCTTCTCATTTCTCTGCTTTCTTTTTCTCTCCCCTCGTTTCCTTCGCTCCCCTCATTCAACTCTCGCTCTATTCCCCCCTCTCTCTCTCTCTCTCTCTCTCTCTATCTATCTATCTATCTATCTCCTCCATCTTCCGCTCTCTTTTTCTCTGTGTATATTTTTCTCTTTCTCCTTATTCCCCTCTCTTTCCCCCCCCTCTCTCCCCTCATTCCACTCTCACTCTCTTTTCCCCTTCTCCATCATCTTCCGCTCTCTCTTTCTCTCTGTATTTTTCTCTCATTCCCCTCTCTCTCTCTTCATTCCTCTCTCCCTCTCCTCATTACTATCTCTCTCTTTCAATCCTCTTCACTTTCTTTCTCTCTCTCTCTCTCTCTCTCTCTCTCTCTCTAAGGTTTCTGTTTTACATAGCTGAATGTCTTTCGTTTCAGTAGGAAATTAGTTTTCCCTGCTACTCGGCAAAAATCGAAAATAGGAAATCTATAATTGTAATAAAATAAACAATTTTGGTATTCTGTTAGCTTCCAAGACAATTTTCATTCAAGTTGCGGACAGAGGATTGATGTTTGGTAAATATTGTTACTTTTTGCTGGATGACATACAAACAGGAAAGCAAGAAGACGGCTTTGCTCCAAGTGGAAGACAGACAAACACTGATAAGATATTGAAACAACAAAGCGAAGCAATTAAGTTCCTGTATTATCCTGTCACCAAGTCAACATGTTTGCTAAAAGATCGTCATTTGATCAGGGAAACATTATTTTGTTAATCTAACATTGTAATACACAAATACATGCATCACATACTATGTATTTTTTGTTTTCTTTTTCCTTTTTGATTTTGTTGGGTTTTAATGTTTATCTTTTCTTTTTGGCCCCGGATGCTTCCGTTTCTCATAGCAAAACGTGAGCAGATATGTGTCATTTTTTTCTGGGATCCATCTTATTCGAGATTATCTGAGAGTGTCCCTTGAAACAAAGAAATACCAATTCGGATAGAAGAGTTCACACTGAGGAATCGAATTTCTCGATCAGCTAAATGTAATGGTTGTTTTTGTAGATATTTGTGCATTGAGTGCGTAAGTTAATTCCAAGGTCAGTTAAATCTTCCACACGTAATCAGTTAGAATGCCGAAAGGAAAACCCGAATATTATTGGATTCGATTCATGACGAAGAAGTTTATTTTGAATTCCTTCATATATGCAGAAATTAGAATAATATTAACTTAATCCAAGAAGAATTTCAAGCAAAATAATTGTTTGAAAGTTTATGTGGCTTCTGACTCTCGAGTGAATGATTACACCTACCTTGAAAATTATTATTACCTGAGGCTCTCAAATATATATTACCTGAGGCTCTCAAATATATTCTATGAAATTACCAACTCATGGGCAACTATCTTAGCTAGATCCTGTTCTATATACGAGGAATGCTTCGAAAGTATTATTATGTTGACCGACAATGGCAAAGGTGAATGTTGTCAGTATGCTAGTTCGAACCTTATCCTCCAGGAAACCATAATTGTTTTTTTTTTCTGTATCACATAAAGCTGATGAGAGGCTAACCGTCATCATGGTGTCTGATATGAAAGTGGGTGGTACGATTCGGAATGGGCCAAAACGAGGCGACGAACACTGGCTGAACAATGTATCTTATATATAATGGACTCTCCCGTCGTTTTCGACATATGAGTGTCTTCATTTCAATTTTTATGTTTATGTATGAGATAACAATCTTGCACGGGATTTGAAAACAAGTCTACACGAGGGACATGATGAAGGGTTGACCATCATATCGGCTGATGTATTAACCCGAGATTTAGTGTTAAGTTCTTAATTCTCTCAGATGGTTGAGATGATTCTTTTCAAAGTTAGTTATACCTCGGTAGTAGGTGTTTCTCCAGTTTGCTCGGTTTTCAACAGCAAGTTCAAACTCCTCTATAAAGTTGTTTGTATCTGTTTGTCCCTGAAGCGTAACCAAAGACGGCCTACATTACGATTACCATGAAAAGGTTGGCTATACATGAGGATTTTCCGCATGCGATCATAACTCATCCTGACATGAGCAGCCAATCTGAACTGTGATTGCATCAGAAAGGATTCAATACCGACGCCTCATTTATATATATATATATATATATGTGTGTGTGTGTGTGTGTACTTTAATAAATAGAAATAACTTTCTCCAGATATCACTACTATGCTGATGTTGCAATTTTCACGATCCTAAACAGCTAATCAAAAAATTGAAGATAAAAATGTTTTGAGTGTCTTTTAGAACGGAATTTTGTTCACACACATGTGTGATTGTGTGCGTGTGTGTATGTGTGTTTGCGCGTGTTTGAGTGCACGCGCGCTCGTGTGTGTGTGTGTGTGTGTGTGTGTGTGTGTGTGTGTGTGTGTGTGTGTGTGTGTGTGTGTGTGTGTGAAGCGGCCATCAAAAATCAAAGACCATTTAATGAAAATGACCGACATGGAACTTGTGACTTGTAGCTTAATGAAAGAAGTGTTCTAACAGCTAAATATCGATGCCCATGATAAAAAAAAAAATCCTAAAATGTCCACGCCCTGCTCCCCATAAAAAAAAAGAGCGTACAGATAATTAGAAAGGAGATGTTGTTAGCCTCAGCAAAAAAAAATCGCATAACTATGCTATACGTGGTTAAAAAAGAAAATGCATGTATAAAAAAAATTGATCCTGAATAACTAGTTCTCGCGAGATCTGAACAGGAAATAAGAGAGTATAATAATTGGAAGTAAACTGAGCGGTGGCCGCCATCTTGTTTTATTCATTCATTCACAGAATTAGGCGTTGCATTTGCATTTGTTGTTGTAATTCTTTTTGTATTGAAAATGAAGTTCAATAGAATTTCGTTAGAAGGTAGTTTGTTTCGTTACATCGACTTTCAAATATTTTCTTCTCTTTCTTTTTTCTCATTTTTTTCTCAATAAAAGGAAGAAGCGAGCAAGCGGAAAATTGGAAACAGAATAAATAAGAAACGCACACACACACACACATATATATATATATATATTGTAGGTGTAATCTCTGCAATATTTCTGTACGTCATACACGTATACAGTACATAAAGAGTGACGAATTGACCATCTTGTAGAATTTTCTGGTGACGTAATAGAGGTAGACATTTCTGAAAAATAAAATGCTACAATCTACTGACGAAATGGTACTGAACAGTCTCTAAAATCAGTATTTCAATGACCAACCTCGGAATAAGGACGTGTGAAGGTGGGATGGATAGTGACATGGAATGAGTAATCCAATAGCCGAGTTCGAATTCTAGTCGGGTTTGTTGTATTCACTTACGTGCAAATACCATTGGGGAAAGTGTGAATCCATCTTCTACCCACCTATGGGATAATAGTAGGAATTATATCTGGAAAAATCATTGTTATCCATAGAAAATTGTTAATGCAATAATCACTCACACACAATAATTGCATTCTTACAAACCAAAATGTGGTTCGTCTTTAAATAACCCACTAAGGGTTGATAAACCGTAACATCAAATCAATCAACATCTGAACACGGATTTTGGGAATTACGTGAAATTTTCAATTATATTTCACTGTCAGATTATTTTTCCCTCGTTGTTAAATTGCCGATAATTTTGTAATTGCATTGTAAAGGGTGTTCCAATAACTTGGACCGATTTCAAATGTGAATTACGTTTAAGCATCTAATTAATCTTTTGTTTTTCTTTCAGCTTTGGCGGACATTTGGGCGATATTATTTTTCACACATAACTGCCGTGACTTAAATAATATGATCCAACAGAGAAAGAAATAAATTTTCACCAATAATTTGATTTATTTACCGCTGACTTTGATCCTTCTTAATGAAACACCCTTACATATAATGCGTCTTAAACATTGTTTACTTGTAAAATATAAAACGTCTATGAAAGACACGGGAAGACATTTTTATTTCATTAAATTTATTATTCTTAATATATTAAATGTATAGAATAGTTCACGGCGATCACTTTTAGGAAAAATAGAACGGAAATAATAGGAAACTAGTACATTAAAAAACGATTGAAAGTAAGATAAGCATTTGATTACATGTTTAAAATGTTGCTTTTGCAACTTTTTGTATGTGCCATGTCCCTTCAGAACGTGATCGATCATGGCTCTCCACGACTTCCTATCCTTTGCAACAGCAAGCAATGTTCGCCCCTTTATTATTATTTACAGTCCCTGTTCTGCTATCTAAACAAGCTCGTTAGGCATGTTACACGTTGGTTTCCTCTGTCCCGCCCTCACTTTATGCCCTATGAGTGTCATACTCACCAAGATCTCTTTCCTCATGTGCCCCAGAAATTTCAGTTGCCTCCTTCTGATGCAAAGCATATTGTCCTTTTTGTTTCCACTTTCTTTAAAACTTTCTTGTTGTTCATATTTTCTGGCTATGGTATTCTCAGTATCTTTCTGTAGAAACACATTTCTGCTGCACCAAATTTTCTATTCATCTATGAGGAAATTTTACTGCCATATATCAGGATTGATATTACATAACATTGGATCATTCTTTTCTTTATTCCCAACAAAAATTTATCTGTTTGCTTAGTTTCTGTAAGGCATCTTTCGCTATTCCAATGTATCTTCGGATTTCGGTGTCATTTTTTTTTTTTTTTTTTTTTTTTTTGTCTGTTATAACAATTCTCATAAAATTAAATTTGATTTTAACTTCCCGGCTTGCACCTCAGGATCTCCTTTTTGATAACGACCATACATTCTGTTTTCTTACAATTGACAGTTAGTCTTTCTTTCTCACTTTCTTTACTACCTTCCAGATAATACATCGTCTTTAAAAAAAAAAAAATGTCCCGATTGGCAGCAAAGCGAATGAAGAAGCGAGAAATTAGGCAAATGAAAGATTCTTCTATAGAAGATTCTTCTTACAGTTCCTACATTCAATGTTAACATTGATAGAAGCCGCTTACTAAGTTTCTTTCAATCTAGCAGAAGGTGCAATTGTCGGTAATCCCTGTATAGATCGGTAGTTCTTAGCAGGGACCGTACTATTTTTAATCGTGTAGACTAGCACTTCAGGACTACAAATAAAGTACTGTATCGAACAAAAGAAACACATCATTTAAGGACCTTCAACAGCAGGAACAATTAAAACAGCGTATATAACTCAAACAGAGAATAACGACATAGGCAAGATGTTGACGTTCCACACTACTTCACAAAGAAGGTTAGGAAAGAAACACCAATTAGTACTAAAAAGAGCGATAATAGCTACAAGAATTGAAAAAACTATTGTCTTGGAAAATTCTTTTTTTAGAAGGATTTTATAAATTTCATCTGCCACTAGCACAGGCTGCTCGGTCAACGAATGGCGAATGTTCCTTTATAAAGAAAACGTTGCTATTACCATAACTAATGCAAAATAAATTTAACATTGCTCCACGGTTAGGTATCCATGTATTTACTCGGATCTTTTTGGCTAGTAAAAGATTGCTTGCTTGTGATAATTAATGAAAATAAAACTCTTTCCCATAGTAATGCTCTGCTTAGGGGCATTTACGAAAATGGGCGTTGTTTGGTACAAGGCTAAAATTCAGAGCACCAATAAAGGTACAAAATAGTATTAGGCAACAAGACTAATTTACTATTGTTCAACGCAGAGAATCCAGTAAATATTTAGATTAGTTTAGTTTGTCACAAGGCCACAAACACGGAGCACTTATCAACCTACAGGTATCAGAGAACTGTGAACTTTACTTCCTAAACATTGTTCCATAGAGCAGCACAAAGTGTTTGACAATGTTAGATGTGTGGGCACCCAGTGAGAATCAAACTCTTTTAAGTAATAATAGTCTCGTCGTTCAGCTTGTTAACCATAACTCCCATAGAAGGTATCCTGAGGATGCTCATATTTGATTGCTTACAGATAAACATTAATACCGCTAGGTTTACGAGAGTAAAGATTTTTTGAAAGAAAGTTAAACTTAATTAAATAATATGCTTTCGAAGTGGTGTGGTTTCGAAGGATATTTGTAATGTCTTGGAAACTTTTAGTAAGTATACAGATAACGTGAATAACTTTTCTCCTTTAATTTCATAACATATTTGGTAAAACTTGGTGCGCGCGCATGTGTGCGTCTGTAGAAGAAAGGGTCAGAGCATATATCCATATGTATAACAATGCAAAATACTGTGTGTCTATGTGTGTGTGTGTGTGTGTGAAATCGTGACATATTTGTATTCGCGTTTTAAGCTGAGAGCTCGTAAATAGGTTTGGTCATAATCTGATAAGCCTTCGATGGCCATTCGCAACGTTAGCTATCCTTGAGAGAAGTAAATTAATTTGAAAAGAACAAGACAAAGGGCCCACGTCCTCCTCCAGCAAAAAAGAAAAACCAGAAACGAAGAAAATAAACACACACATACAAAAAAAAAAAACTTCAAATATTTCACGAGTTCTTTGAATCAGATTTAGAAAGATATGCATCGAACCTGTTTGGCGCCCGCCAAAAAAGGAAAAAAAATCCTATTTTCTCCGAAAGTAATGGCTCCTGTATACGCGAATTTCCACGGGACTTACAGCAGATACGGAAAGTAGAAAACTATTCTTGAAAATAGAAAATTTTCAGCTACAAAACATTATTTTCCCACATCATCATTTCTACTAGCGTTTCTATTTTCGTGACCCATTTTTTCCATCGGTTGACAGTTGAGCCGCCTGAATTGTGGTTTGTCAAACACCTTGCTATCACGACTTATGTAATGTTTTATCTACAATCGCAAACTGTGGTCATATTCATTGTTTGGTCTCCGTAAACGTTCCACAAAAATATACGTATAGAGGAATTCAATGATCCACCTCTGATTTTTATGCAATTTCACATAAGATGTGATGCGAGGTGCTGAAATTTTTTAGCCGGAAAAAAGAATGAAACTCCAACCCATTAAAATTCTGATGCTTAAGAGGAAACATTTTCAGCAAACATATATCTCTCTCTCCACACACACGCACACACATATATATATATTTATATATATATGTATGTATATATATTTACAAATATATATGTACGTATATATGTATATATGTATATATATATATATATATATATATATATATATATATATATATATATATTTTGGTGCATGTTTTCATTGAAAAAGGTCTCATTAAATAATTTAGACAACTTTTGTTTATTTTAAAAAACAAGTTAACAAAACTTGTCTAAATAATTTAATACGATCTGTCTTTTATACACACACACACACACACACACACACACACACACACACACATATATATATATATATATATATATATATATATATATATATATGTATGTATGTATGTATGTATGTATGTATGTATATAAAAGACAGGTCTTATTAAATTATTTAGACAAGTTTTGTTAACTTAGTATCGTGGCGTTTGTCTTTGTATGGAGATATGTTATTGGATGTTTTAGTTTTACAGATAATATTAGACGATATTATTGGCTTAGTTCATTATTCGTAGGGTGGGGATTGATTTTTTTTTTATTGGAGGATTAGGTATTAAATATGTTTCTGACAGTATTAAATGCTTTTTTATTAATGTTGGGTTTTTGGTTTTTGATGAGGATCGCTTCCAGAATTTATTGTAGTTTTTTGTAGTTGTTTTTATAGAGGATTTTGGTGTTGTTAATTAAGATTTTTCTTATGTCAGATGATTTGAATGGGTTACTGGTGGTTCTGTGTATTGTTACAAGATAATTTTTATGGCACTGGTGTCATTAAGGCGTTATGTGAGCTTATATGAAAGGGTTTTGGTTGTATGCCCCATGTATGAGTTAGGGTTATTGTGAGAAGCATTTTCGAAATTTTCATTGAATACGGCCGAAAAAAAAACATTAAATTAATTTTTATTAATTTTTATTAGCATCTAATACTTCTTACCATCAACCTATGATTATTTATTAGTGAAAATGCAGTGTTGAAATAGAGAATTCCAGTCTCGCGTGGCTCCTTTTTCAAAAAAAATAACACAAACATAATTTACAACGTAACCGTCAAAACATGAGGGGAAAATAGCAACACTAGAGAGAAAAAAAAATCACCCTTGAAAATGGCTACTGAAATGGCCGAAAGTTCTTGGGACAGTAAAGACTATGGATAATTTATATATATATATATATATATATATATATATATATATATATATATAGAGAGAGGGGGGGGAGAGGATTTTCATTCATTTCATGTATTTCCGTTTTTCTTCCTTCATCCATTCTTTATTATTCTCTCTGTCTTTTTCCTTCACCTCTTCTTTCTTTCTTTTAACCTTCCCTTTACAAACCCTTTCTTCCTTTTTCTTTTCTCCTTAAAAACACATTCATCTCCAAAACATTTTTTCTCTCTTTATTTTTCTCACGTCTGTCTACTCAGTGTCTTTCCTTTCTTTCTTTCTTTCTTTCTTTCTTTCTTTCTTTCTTTCTTTCTTTCATTCTTTCTTCTTTTCTTTATTTTCTTTTGACTTTTCTTTCTGTTTTCTTTCTGGGTTTTTTTTCCCTACATTTTCCCTTAATTTATTCATTCTCCCCCAACGCTATCTTTTATTTAATTTCTTTCCTTCTTTTTCTTTCTTTTTAACTAACCGGTATTTTTATTTTTTGCTTTTCCCCTTTCTTTTTACTTTTCATTTATTCATTCATTTTCAGTTTTCCGCTGTTTTTCTTCCCTCCTCCTTTTCTTTCTTTACTTTATTCTTTTTTTCTCTCCACTTTTTACCTTTCTGCTTAATAGTTCCCCCGCTTTATAAAAACAACAAGCACGTATTCGCTTTCCTCTTTCTTTTTTTTATCCATTTTTGTCATTCATTTTACATTCACCTGATATGTTTATTCCCTTATTTTCATTTGTCTTAACCGGCTTTATATCTTCAGAATTGCTCGACCAATCAGAGGCTCAATGTAACTAATAATTTCCACTGATCCCGCCAAAAGGATCAATGTAACATTAAATGGATCCATGCTTTACAAGAAACAAATCATCAAATTATGCCTCACAATCTCAACCTACTCACAAACAGCACGTACAAACAATGCACACACAAAGTACACGTCTGTGTTTAGAGATATACACAGCCACACAAATGTGTGTCGTAGGACACACGGATTCACAATATGAGTGGCATTAGATGAAAAGGGTTAGGGTAATTTAGTAAGCACTCTCTTAATATAAACCAACTAACCGAAAAACTGTCGTGCAAACATTTTTATTGATAAATTTATTTATAAGTAAGGATGTACACAAATGAAAAGTTTTTAAATTGACAGCTTTTTTTCAATTTCACTGAAAAAGGCGTTAAACACTTCGAACTAGCTAAGAGACTAATTAATGAAGGGAAGGACAAATTATCACTGAGATTTTTTTTCTGTGTAAATAGAGTTGGGCTGAAACAAGGAATTCAATTTATAATGGCCGACTCACTTGTGTATATCTTAATGCTGATTCTTTACATCCTTCATTATTCAGACTTGAATGCAGATATAAAAATGCTTGTTATGACCGATATAATGATATTATTGAAAGTCGACATGATATATTTATTCCATCATAATTATAGACATTATAAAGAATTTTAAAAATCTTATAATATAAGAAGAAAGAATATGCATGGGAGTTACAGAAGGACTCTGAGACCAGAGAAACTACACACACAAAACATCCTCTACATCCTGTAACAAACAGCACTACACTTTCTAAATATATAAGAGAATTACAAAACAAAATACACCGACATAATCACGGGCCACAGAAAATAAAGAAAACAGCATCAGCCTACAACTGTAAACTTTGTATGGAGGAGAGAATAGCTATGATCTCCTTTCCAAACCAAGACAAATTACTAAATAAACGATCATAAGTTAGCAGACCGAAAACGATTTTTTACTATGTTACTTAAAAACCAAAAACTAAAAGTGAATAACACGAAAAATACAAATAAACGTATCATGTAAAACGCAATGTAACATACTTTAGATAAATATAGCCAAACACCAAGGGGAAAAATAAATAAAATAATAACTAAAGTAAATAATAAACAAATTAACAAATTGCAAATACATGCATAACCAGTAGATTAAAAATAATAATCAAGATATAATGAATGAACGTATACAAAATACATTAAGTAATCAATAATAAGTAATAAGTTAAAAGTTAACCAAAAGTACTATACAATAGATAGAAATAACTACATTCTGACCTAGAATTACTTCCAAACAATAGCTTTTAGAATAATTTAAAATATAACCTTTCCCGCCCATCAAATAACGGTTAGGATCATGCAATAAACCGGAAATACCTGACCTTTCTACTCATTAACCGGTACATATAAATAGTCGAGCAAAACAGATGGCATGAAGATTACGTTCAAGCATTAGAATATTGCCAGTCTGTGTTGATCTCAGTGTTCACTTTTATATTTACACACGCTCTTAAAACTCTCTCTCTCTCTCTCTCTCTCTCTCTCTATATATATATATATATATATATATATATATATATATATATATATATATATGTATGTATATGTGTGTGTGTGTGTGTGTGTATTTAACAAATGGCTGAAACGTTATGATAACAACAAAAAAGATGAGGAAATGGTGTACATAATAATGATAATACCTAATCCCAGAAATTATTTAAATTATATATTAAGTTTTACGGAAAAGGGGATCAAAAGGAAATCAAGAAATATCTAAAAGACATAATGAGAAAAGTAGGCTTGAAGAATTAGACACTCACATGACATATTGCAGGTAAAACGAGCAGAGGAAAACAAATAGTAACCTTCCTAATATGCTTGTGGAAATGGACTATTAAAGGGACAAATATTGTATAGAAAGCTGTAGCGGTTCATGATCGCCCACGTCCTGAATGGACGCGGCATTTAAAAGAAAATTAAGTTAAAATATTATATTATATGCTTGATTAATGCATAAATTAAATTTTGTTTAAATATAGTTCATCATAAATTAAATATTTAAGAATTAGTATTATTAATTATAATAAATTAAATACCATATTAATTGCCTACTTCGTAGTGGTGTTAGTTTCCTAATAAGTACATATGTGGTTATGCGTTTGTATATGTGTCTGTGCTCTGGGTGAGTGTGTGCATATTACAAGTGTTATGCACGCTTATTTGTGTGCATTATGTTAGGTAGGATATACAGGAATACATTACCGTTGTTCGGAAAAATCCTATGTGAAACAATTTTCGATATTTCCGACTCGCTCACACCGCCTCATCCTTCCTGATATATTTTGCTACATTGAAATAAGACAATACGTTCGTTGGAGAGCTGTTCGTTTTTGATAGACAGGCATTTAGAAGAGAGATTGAAGGACGCTTGCACCGAGAAACCAATGTATTATTATGTTTCGCGGTTTCTTATTTATTTTTTCCCAGTAACGTGAGTTCTACTGACGTTATTTTCAAATTATCCAATCATCTCCGGAGAATGAATTGCATTGACTGAAAGATTTCGAATACATGTTTATTGTTGCCTAAAGCCGACAGATTCCAACATTAATTCTGCTTAAAAAGCAACGATGGCAATTTTCTTACTTTTAATTTTTTTTTTATCTCTCAGGGCTTTTATCAGTTTATTTTTTCATCTCGTTTCTGTTCTGCGCTGAAAAATGTTATAGATTAGTAACAAAGAAAAAAAGGTTTATTTTGTAGGGTTTTATCCAACATCAATTTAAAAGGAAGATATTAATCGGTCCGGGTCCGAGACAACAAACCTTATGATTCTCGTTGCTATTACAGTGTTTCGATCGACATATTCCATAGGTATACGTTGTATCCGCTGGTTTATGAGTAGTTGCTTATATATATATATATATATATATATATATATATATATATATATATATATATATATACAAACTGACACCATAAACATTTTGAAAAAATCCTGCAAAATTAAAATTTTAAAATTCGTACGTGAAAATGGTCATTAACTAATGGTATCTTAATTTTAATTTTAAGAAAGATTTTGCTCTGTATAATGAAAATAAACACTGAGAGATCTTTGTGAGTCAGTTTTAACATTTAATATTTCAATTTCTATATTGTATTAATAGGACTCGCTAGGATTATACCAATATATATATATATATATATATATATATAGCCTGACGTGCTGTACCATTTAGCTACAAAGGAGGTGTCTGCTTAGCAAGATCGAATTACTGCGTTTAAACTACAAATTTCTCATGATTTCTCTCGAACACCCATATCTGTAGCGAAATGGCATAACACGTCAGGCTATATGACGGTTCCGTGTAGGATACAGGTTCGATTCCTATCGGAGGACACATATTTTCTATGAAATTTCTCGGACATGCCGGTAAATGTTGGTAATACTGTTTATTATGAACAGAGCATTTACTTAAATATTTGTATCTATAAAAATAACGTATTAACAATAAATATATTAAATAATTGTCGGACTTAGTCCATTTCATAATTTGTTCATTTGTTTACGTCAAGATAAAAGCAGATATGAGCGCCTGAGGAAAATCATGGAAATTTATAGTTTAAAAGCAGTAATTCGACCTTGCTAACCAGACGCTTCTATATATATATATATATATATATATATATATATATATATATATATATATATATATATGTGTGTGTGTGTGTGTGTGTGTGTGTGTGTGTGTGTGTGTGTGTGTGATGGATATGTTGTCGTCTAAATTGCGCAAAAAATTAAAATAACTTTGATATCTGATTTATCAGATATATTTACCAAAATTACACAAAAGTTTCTAAAGATTAACTTTATTCAATAAAATCGCCAGACGACTTCGGAATCTTCTGCAAGTCTCCTGGACAGTCTCCGTGTTTAACTCTTTGAGTCCTTTTATCCTTGGACAATTTTAACTCTTCTGCATGGATTCCCGAGTCAAAATTCTCAAATAATTGGTATGTTATATTTCACGATAGATATTAAAATAGCTACCAGTATTTACCCACCATTTATTTGGGTGGCTGGTCATAAGTCATTTTTCTCTATCACCGGTAAACCGGTGGTCAGGGTTCAAAGGGTTAAGTTGGTGAATGCTGTCATAGTCCTTGTCTTTAGTTAATCTTTGGTGTTACAAGGAATTTTGTTGGTTTCTTGCTCAACAGCACTCCACACATAATAATCAAGAGGGTCGCAATTGTGGAGTTAGGTGGCCAGATGTAAGCGGTGATGTAGTCGTAGAAATTGCCTGACAGCTATGAATGACTTCTCCTGCAATTGTGGCATGGTGCAGAGTCCTGTTGCCGGATATAGGATCTTTCAGCAGCCACCCTGGTGACCTAGGGCAGCAATACCTCCTCAAGGCACTTGATGTTGGCCCCCGTGTTGAGTCTAAACCTCTGTGGCAAGATGAATGGTGGCATAACGTTGCCATCACTAGTGATCACTCCAAACACCTACGTAATCATCATTAGACTCATTCAACTCTTTCCGAATCATCTGCACTGCTCTCAGATTGACACCTAAACACTCTGAAATGTTCATATTCGAACTGCCGGCGCAAATGCCAAGCATTACAGCATACCATTTCCAAATTTCTGTTGGAGCGAATTGCGTCATGGTGTTCTTTTTATCATAGGCGATGCCCAAGTGATCCTACTATAATATGCAGTCGACAAAATCAAAAACAAACAACACGCATGCGCGAAATTAAAAAAAATATAAGATGGTGACAATTTAACCATCGCACCGTATAAATGAATTTTGATTCTGCTTATATTCTAAGCCTAATTTAATGGTCACTTCGAAGAAATCTCTTAAGTCACATATCCTCGATGGCCGACGTTAATTTGACGGAGTTTAGAAATGAACAAGCAATT